TGAGGAGGAACAGAACCATGCTTTCGCGTATCAACTGTTGTGAGGGCCCCTTGGGGGACCTTTGAAGCCATCTCGGGGTTCTCTTCGGTTCCCCTTGGGGCCTTTCGTGGGTCCCTCTTGGAGTCCCTCGGGTCTCGTTTCGGGAGGGGCGGGGCCCTCAGTAGAGGCTCTTTTGGGGGCGTCTTGGGGTTCTCTTGGGGCGATCTTGGGGCGCATGGCTCAGCACGGTGGAGCTCCTTAAACTCCCCCCCCTCCCTCCGCTCCCCCCCGCTCCCCCCCCTGCCCCCCTTCCCCCTCCCCCTGCCCCCTCCCCTCGGATGCCGTTGGGCCCTTTTGGAGCCGTCTTGGAGCCATCATGAGGCTTCAAAGGCTCATCGGAAGTCACATAGGCGACTGTTGCTCTCTTGGGACCTCTCGGAGGTATGTCGGAAGCTGTACTGACCGTCTTCGACGGTATCTTAAGCCATCTTTGAGGACATCTTGGAGTATCGGTGGTCGCCTTTGGGCCACCTTGGGCCACTTGGACGCTCTGACCCCTCCGTCTGGTCCCCGTCCAAGCCGCCCAGGGGAGGTGATAGGGGGAGGGGTCAAGGCACCCTCCGCGCCCGCAGGCTGTCTCGCCTACGTACTCCCACCCTCCCAACACATGAGTAGCACCACCATGTTCAGCGGTCGTCAATGGATGGGCAGCTACTGGAGACCAACACAGTCCCCATGTGCGACGCTGGGGCGAGTTGCACCCAGGCGTGCCAGGCGCGCGACGCGCGCCAGGTGCGCCAGGCACCTCTGGGGCCCGAGCGTGCCAGGCACGTCTGGCGCGCCAGATGCGCCTCGTGCTCCACGTGCGCCATGTGCGCCGCATGGTCCAGCCGCGTGAGGTGCGCCACGTTCGGGGCACGCGCAGATTGTGCCAGGTGCGCCCGCGCACGTGTCAGCACAGGAAACATGTCGGCCCCACCATCCGTGTCGGAAACCAGTGCGCAATCGCGGCGGGAAGGCCATCATGGTGTCTGCTGGGCCTGCGCACACTAGGCAATATGCCAGCCCCCCGCCTTCCTTGTCAAAGCGAGTGGATAGTGATTGCGGGGTGGCCGTTCGTGATCCAGATTTAGCGGATTGCATTTTGTAATACTTCTTCCAGGGGGGGTCTTGCGCACAGCAGGCAATGTGAGCCCCCCCCGCCGTCCTTGTCAAAAAGCAATATAAAGTGCCAGCACGGCTTAAGTTTTTGCCCCACAGTGTATTGTGTGTTGTTTTTTGACGAGATGGTGGGGGTGATAGTCACTGGTCCTGGTTGGCTGCCGTTCGCCTGGGGGAGGGGGTATTCATTAATAGAGACCAGTAATCAAGCTACCCCCCAGAAGCCGGCCGTCTTGCTCACTCCCACCCGCCCTCCCATCGCACAAGTAGCCTTCGAGTCTCAGCACGGGCAGGGGCCGCCATCGACCATCATCTGGAAATTGGACCTTTATGGGAAGCCTCTCGGGACCCTCTTCTTGGTTCTTGGGGCCCTCTTGGGCGCCAAGAAGTCATGCGACAAAACGCCCCGGGCCCAGGGGCCACGCTGGGTGCCCCGAGAGATTTCGCACAATTTTGGGTCCGGGTCGTAAGAACCCTCCGGATTGAGGACGGTGGGCCCCGAGGCCCTTCAAGGGACCTGAGGACACCCCAACTCGTGCATCAAGGGCGCGGTGACGGATGTAGGATGTTTTTTTTTCTGGCAAGGATGATGGGCCTGCGCGCAGCAGGTAATATGCCTCTATTCCCTCGTCCTTGTCAAAAAGCAATGCAAGGCGATCGCTGGATGCCGGTGCGTGATCCAGATTTTGCCGCAACGTGTATTTCGTATTGTTTTTTGGGCAGGGAGGGTGTGGGTGGGGGTTGTCATGGTTCCGGGATCGCCCCTGGTCAGGCAAGGGAGGGTTGTATATCAGCAGTCAGGAGCAGTGATTAGTCCTCCTGGGATGGCAGACGAAGGGGATTTGGAAGCGGAAAGAGACTAGTTGTCATGCCACCTGCTCCCAGAGGATTGGTGGGATTCTTTTCCGGAGCAGGAACCTGTGTTGACGGGCAAATGTTCCACCACCGCTGCTCCTTGTAGGACGGGGGAGGAGGGAGGATGAGGAGCTCCTCCTCCTCCTGCTCCTCCTCGTCCTCCTCCTCTTCCTCCTCCTCCTCCTCCTCCTCCTCCTCCTCGTCCTCCTCCTCCTCCTCCTCCTCGTCCTGATCCTCCTCCTCCCTCTCGTGCCTGTGGCAGTGGTGGTGGAAGCTGTGCCCGTCGTGTGTGGCCGCCGCCCGGCGCGCGAGGCGGGAGGCGGCCAGGCGGCACGACGGGGCGGCAGGGCCGCATGGCGGGGTTCAGAGAGCACGATCGGCCCACGACATGCCAAAAACGCCATCGTTTGCGGACACTCTCCATGAAAGGAAGTCGGACCCCTCCTCCTCCTCCTCCTCTCTCTCCTCACCATCTCCTCCTCCTCCTCCCCCCCTCTCATCCTCCTCCTCCTCCTCTCCTCCTTCCTCCTCCTCCTCCTCCTCATACCTCCCCTCCTCCTCCTCCTCACCTCCTCCTCCTCCTCCTCCTCCTCCTCCTCCTCCTCCTCCGCGAGGAACGGCCGAACGACCCCTGCAGCGGGACGCTCTGGCAGCACGGCTGCCGCCGCAAAAAAGCTGTCGGTTGCAGGCTGGCGCCGCGGCAGCGGGCGGGGCACCGGGCAGCACGTGATGGGCCTGCTGTCCACCACCCCCATAAGTTGGAGAGGGAGGCGGTCCTCCTCCTCTTCCTCCATCTCCTCCTCCTCCTCGTCGTCCACCTCCTCCTCCTCGTCGTCCTCCTCCTCCTCGTCGTCCTCCTCCTTCCCCCCTTCAGCCTGTGGTCGTGGTGGAGGAAAACAGGCCCATCAGCACAACCCGAAAGCGCATGTGCCAAGCGTGCAGAAGAGAAGTCATGACTCTAGGCCTCCTAGATGGGGTCGGAGTAGATGGGGTCGGAGGATCGCACCGCATCGCCGATGCATCGCCGATGCGCCTCGATGCGGAGCCCGATTTTCTCCACGCCGACGTCGCCGATGCGTCGCCGACGTCGACGATGCATCCCCGATGCATCGGCGATGCGGCGCGATCCTCCGACCCCATCTACTCAGACCCCACTCAGGAGGCCTCTAATGACCTCTTCGTGCAAACACTGTCTGGGGAAAAATGAATGCAGGGGAACGAACAACGGCATAAACATGACAGCTCGCAGGTCCGCGCGGATTTTTCGGATTTCCGAGTCGTTCTCTTTATGTCATTGTTCGATCCCCTAGTATGGGATCTTGTGGACATCCCGCGTGCCCCGCTGCCGCGTTTCCGAGTGCCGCCTTCGTCGAGGGTCTTTTCCCATCCGCACGTGCACTTCTCACTGGCCAGGAAGGGGAGGGAGAGCCCAAAAAGAGGTACAGTGCACATGCGGTCGGGCCGAAGATCGAGGTCGGTTCCCGGAGGGTACCTTCATGTTCTACGTGTTTGTTGGGTATTCTTGTGCATCCTGTGGGAGGGTACCCTCGGATGTCCTTCAGTTGGGCCGGCGGAGGGTCTCATGTTCTTGGAAGATGTTCTTCTGTCCTAGGTCAGGCCGTAGTTCTCTGGCCGCAAGGTCAGGGGCAATGCTAGGGAGACTGCAAATACATCGCTGCAGGTAAACACCGCAAAACGAAATTGCAAGTAAAAGCCGCAAACAACAACCACATAAACCCCTCTGGCTCGGGGGAGGGGTCCGTCGACCCCCCAAATCGCCCACTCGTCGCCGGGGGGGGGCCCGCCAGCCCACACCACCGCCCAGGAACGTGCGGATCCGCTATCCTCGGGTGCCGATCGCCGATCGGTCGGCGATGCCTCGCCGATTCGGGCTCGATGCCTGCCCCCGCGCCGGCCCCCTGGTGGTCTTCGGGTCCTGCAGGCCTCGGACAAAGATAGCGAGCGCTCATGCCGCATTCGTCTGCGAACGCCTCCCCCTCCCCCCCAATTTTCGGAGTGGGCGGTGGGTCTGAGGAGTTGCCCCCCCAGACATGCGACGTCCTGATTTTTTCAGGACGGCGTCCCCGGAAGTCCCGGCCCTTTCCCCGGGGCCGGTTTTTCGTCCTGAGTCGTTTTTTGACGGTCCCGAGGCCCGGCGAGGGCCCCCCCGAGGCCGAAGACATGCAAAAACCTCCCGTCCTGATTCTTTCACGACGCGATCATGTCTGGGCCTCGACTCGCAGCCTCCCCCCGCGCGCGCCAACCTAGAGAGTTTTGGGGGGGCAGGGGGGGTGCTCACGAGCTGTTTCCCTCTGCCGCCGCTCGGGCCTCCTGCGGCCGCTCGGGATTCATCCGCTGCCCCCCCCCCCGAACCAAAAAGAAACGCGCCCGGCGGGGCGCGGCCGCCGCAAAGAGGCTCCCGGAGGCCCGAGGGCCGCCGAGGGCCAAGGAAAGCGTCCGAGAGCCCGAGGAGGCCTCGGAAAAAATAGCGAACGCTCATGCCACATTCATCTGTGAACGCCCCCCGAAAAACGCGCCCGGCGGGGCGCAGCCGCCGAACAGGGCTCCCCGAGGGCTGGAGGGCCGCCGAGGGCCCACGTCAGGAGAGGAACAAAAACACACACAGACACAATGAACCGTCGATTCCCCAGAAGATGTGGGAAAATATAGGCAGTGGGGGGGAAGACAGAAACCCAGAAAGTATGGGGGAATATGGGGAATGATTCTATTTGTGTGCATTTATTTTTGTGTGTCCTGGGGCCCCTTCACAACGAAAACGTCCGAGAGCCTGAGGAGGTCTGGACCGAGTACACGACGGAGTACCCCAGGGTCATCGTCCACCCGCTCGACACGACCAAGTTCCAGCTGACCATGAACGAGACCCGCATCTTCAACCTCACCGCCCCCTCGCGCACCGCGCGCGACCTGGTGGCGCTGACGGTGCGCTGCATGCACGCCAGGAGCTTCCGAGGCGGGAATTTATACGTGACCGCCGCCTGGAGGGTCAGTTTTCGGAGCCTCGGCAGGCGGTGCATGTGGACAGATTCGGGCCCCCAGGGGCCGAAATATATCCATATCCGCCGCCCGCTGGGGCACCAGGATGTCAGTTCCCAGGCGGTGGATATGGATCAATCCCCGCCTCGCAACCGTTGCCTTCACCACGGGCCACGACTAGAGACAGCAAGCGAGTTGGTAGAGTAACCATGGCTTGAAGGCTCTGTCTGTACTCTAATGCTTAGCGTTACGTTGAACTTGAGACGCCTTTGGCAGTCCTTGATCAACAAAAATAATCCACGCCTCGCAAGGAGGTTCCTGCCCACCGAGTCCGTGCTGAGCCGGCTGCTGCCCGTGCAGCCGACGCTGGTCGGCCCCGGCGGCCCGCCCGCCGCGCCGCCCGACGCAACGCTCGCGGTGCCGGACCTCCGCGGGGAGGAAGAGCTCGGGAGCCTTGAGACGGGGGTCAATGCAAACGGGGGTCAGCCAGAGCGCCCGATCTTGCAGGATCACTTGCAGGATCTTGCAATACCTGACTGACCCGGGTTTGGATTGACCCGGGCAAGCAGATCCCCGAAGAGCACGAGCCGACAGTCGGCGGCGACCCCAGCGCGGGCGTTTTTAAAGGTCGGGGGTGGATAGAAGATCAGAGGAGGAAAAGGTACCCATGCCTCTACCCTTCCCTCGATTTCTCCTTTTTGGGCCTCCTGGGAGGCCCTCGTCGCCACCGCTGGATTCGCCTCGAAAGTCTGGTCAGAGCGCACCCCCTAGAGAGGTCCTGGGGGTTGGGGTTGGGGTATCGGCACCTTTTGGTTTCCCCAAGAAGCCCCACCCTCACACGTCGATTGGTGAATGGTCCGTTTCGGGTTCTCGAGGGGGCGCCGCGGCCGTCCTGTTCCAGGCCTGCGCCCGCCAGGCTTGTGGGCCCGAGGTCGTTTCCACGAAACCGCTTTTTGCTAGAGGGGGGTTCTGTCCATCCCCGATAGGTCGGGTAATAGCCAGGACCCCAGGTAAGGGGACACGGTTAGTATTTGGGCCCCAGGGCCCCTAGATTGGCCAGAATCGCTGAACCAGGTCTGCCGTAGATGGTGTTTTTTTTCGGGAGACGGCAGTCCCGGTTAGTGGAGCGGGGCAGGGGGGGCGTCCCCCAGTACACGTCACTAAACCAGGTCCCACTAAGCCTTGTTCTGCCAACGCCCGAAAAGGATGAACGCCGCCCGTGGACCAGAACAGGCCCATCGCTGAACGTTCCCGTCTTTCGGAGACGGCCGATCGTTCAAGTGTGAGCGATCCCCGCGGTGGCCGAGGCCAAGGTTCAGTCGGCCATGCCCCTCTACAGGAGGAGTGTTCAAAGACAGTCAAAACATAGTCTGCGGACGACTTTGTCGACTCTTGAAAGCATCCGTATTTTTGCATGCTTCTGGACAGGCTTTTTTAGATTTCTTCCAGAACCCGCCGGTATCAGGAGGGAAAAACACACAGACACTATTAATCGTCGATTCCCCAGAAAATATGGGAAACTATGGGAAGTGGACGGGAAGACAGAAGCCCAGAAACTATGGGAAACTATGGGGAATCTTTTTGTTTGTGTGTATTTATTTGTGTGTCCTGGGGCCCCTTCACTGCAGGAGGACGTGCCCGACGCGAGACCAGCGCCGACGTCGGTGCACGACGCGAGCCTGCCGCACCCCGGTCGGCGGGCTGGCGCGGGGAGGGGAGCGCGGGCCGGGCGAGGGCCCCCTCCTCCTCCTCCTCCTCCTCCTCCTCTCTCCTCCCTCCTCTCCTCCTCCTCCTCCTCCTCCTCCTCCTCCTCCTCCTCCCCTCCTCCCCTCCCCCTCCCCCTCCCCTCCCCCTCCCCCTCCCCCTCCCCCCCCCCCCCCCCAAAGGCTGCCGACGGGGGGGGGGGGCGAGGAGGGCCTCCGTGGGCGGCGCCGGCGTGCTGCCTCGGCCTGGCCACGCCCGCCGCCGGCGCCCCGGCCTCGGGCCGGCCGCGGCGCCCGCGCCCGCCCCGGGGGAAAAGGGCGGCCGCCAGGCTTGGACCCCGTCCGCTTGGCGCCCCTGCCCCCCCAGACCCCCTCGAGTTATGGAGGTTTTAGAACGGGTTGAGCAGAGGGGCCATACGTGTGATGTTGGGCAAAAGGGAATATTCTGCCCGTTGTCTGATGTGCACTCGCCAACACCCTGCTGCCCTTTTCCGCTCAAGTTGTTTCTGGTCTGTAGCAGGCCTGATGGGCCCCCCGCCGGCCCTCATCAGTCATTTCCAGACCGCGGGCGTGCGCGCTCTGGAGTTGCTGGCGCTGCGGCAGTCGATCATCTCGGGGGTGCCGCCGTGCCCCGCGGTGTCGCTGGCGTGCCCGCCGGCGAACCTGACCTGCCCGCCGCAGGTCTGCCCGGCGCTGACGTGCTCACCGCCGCCCTGCCCTCCTCCAGCGTGCCCGGCGCCGCTGGTCAACCTCTCCTGCCCGCCTGCAGGGGGGGTCGTGGGCGCCGGCGAGTTCGACCCATTCTCGGCGTACTGGGGAGGACTCGCAGGGATCGCGGCTGGGCTGGGGCTCGGCCGCGTCGCCCCGCGCCGCGGGCGCGCTGCTGCCGCCGAAGGAGATGATGATCGCGCACCGTCCCCTGCCCCCGCTCGCCGCGGAGGGGGAGTGGTGCGCTGACTTGGCGGTCGGCACCCTGGTCCGGGTCTCCTACACCGGGGAGACCATGGACCACACGAGGGTCGTGCTGTGGCCCAGCCGCCGCCTGGACCAGAGGCGGCGGGTCCGGGGGCGGCACGCCTATTGGGTGCTCTCCGCGGACGGCGACGTCTGGGAGGAGGACCTGAGCGGGAGGAATGCGGCGACCGGGCCGTCGGGCGGGTCGCTGCTGGACCAGGCGACTGGGGATCCGCCCGACGGCCGCCGCCTCTATCGGTTCCGGGCGCGGCCCAGCCTGGACGAGGTCGTGGAGCTGGCGGCGGAGTGCCGAGCCACGATGCTCAGGCGTGGGCAGGCCGAGTCGGAGGCGCCGACGAGCGTGGTGCTGGCCGACGGGGCGGTGCGCCCCGGCCGCGACCACTTCCCGTGGCTCGAGGCCCCGCGCCCTTGGGTGCTGACGGAACCGCTCCCTGGCATGCCAATCGGGACCGTGGTGGATCCGCTCCCGGTGGGGGCGCTGCGCGACGGGAGCCGGGCCCTCGGCTTGCTGCCGAGCTGCGGCCGCTGGGCGAGGCTCGAGCAGGTGGACGAGGGCAAGATCGTCGAGTGGGCCGCCAAGAGGACGAAGGAGCTGGTGCTCGACCTCGGCGCGGGGCCCGACGCCATGGGCGCCGCGGAGCCGGTTGGCGGGACTGAAACCCCGCCGCTGGGGCGTGAGGCTCGCTCGGCCGGAGGCGACCGCCTGGGCGAGAAGCTGGGGCTGGCCGCCGAGGAGCCCGCCGAGTCGGCCGCGGGGGAGGACGACGCCTACGGCGACGCACGCACGCTGTGGGTCGACTGGGACGAGCAGGGCGAGCGCAGGAAGGAGTTCAAGCGAGCGGTGGCCGAGAGCTCGAATGTGAAGTGGGACCATCATCGGCTGCCCGCCGATCGCACTTGCCTTCACACGTGCAAGATGATGGTGAACTTGAGTGGGTCTCCACGCGTGTGGCTAGAGCGCTTTCTCAGGGAGAAGGGGATAGCTTCTACGGATCGAGTCGCGCACGAACTCCGAGTGTTGTGCGACATCTTGGAAGAAGCTGGCGAGTTTGACCAGATCAACCTCGGAGGACTGGCTTGCTTGGAAGTGGCCGCCCTCCGGCTGAACCTGCTGGTGGACGCGCGCAAGACGAGCGGGTCGGCCTCGTACTCGAACGCGAAGTACCTCTCGCCGCTGACCGAGGTGGACCAGTTGATGGCTCCTGGCTTGCGGTCTCACGTGTCGAGGCGCGCCAAGGAGGAGTACGAGCTGATGCAGGGCGACAAGAAGGCCGAGGCGGTCGCTGCTGGAGCGGCTGGCGCGCGGGTTCCACCGCGCGAGGGGGCCGATGATGCGGCCAAAGGTGGCAAGGGCGGCGGCGGGGGCGGCCGGGGTAACAAGACCCGGGCGCGGGCCCTCGCGCCGCCCGTGCAGGCATGACGGACCAGTCTCAGCCGGCGGAGTGGGCCCCTGCCGGCTGGGCTAACACATCGGCCCGGCGAGCGCCGCTGGCCCTGGCGAGCGGGGATAGGGACCTCTTCCCCCTCCCTCGCCTGGCCAGGCCGCCCGCCAGCAGGGGCGGCAGCCGCGCCCGGATTGCTGGCGCTCGGCGGCGGCGCGAGCACGAATTGGCGAACGGCGCTATCGACTCTCTCAACTGGCTTGCTGGATGGGAGCCTGCCGACGTGGGCCCGCCGCGCTCCCTGGACGCCATGGGGGGCAAGCATGCTGGGATCGTACAGTGGGTGGCCAGCGAAGCTCATCGGCGCCAAGCCGCAGCTCCCAACCCCTGTCCGTCCCAAGAGGCATCGCTCAGTGCGATGCTCAAGGGGTGCTCGATCTACGACACGTCGGGCTCCCCGAGGAACCTGGCCTCCTTCGTCCGCGAGCGCGTGTCCTTGCCCCCTTCGGTTGTCGCCTGCCTCCAGGTGGACGACATCGTGGGCGAGGCCGGCCGCGCCTACCTGAAGGAGAATCAAAAGCGTATGAGGCGGCCGATCGAGGAGATCGATTTTGACAACTTGCCGACTCCCTATTTTGACCCGCTGCTGAAGCGGAACAAGAAGATGTACCACAACTTTTTGAAGGATCTCTCGTCCCGCGGGCTCTTGCTTGCCACCTTGTCTCCCGCAGAGCAGGCTGGCCTGTTCTTCGTGAAGAAGGCCGACAGCGACAAGATGCGCATGATCGTGGACGCGCGTCGGGCGAACGCGTGGTTCGGCGTGCCCCCCAGCGTCCAGCTCCTGTCGTGCGAGGGGTTCGGCAGGGTGGAGGTGAAGCTCCCAGAGGGCGTCGCCTTCGGCTCGGCGCGGGGCGAGGAGCTGCTGAACGGCTTCAAGCTCTTCTTGGGCATGACGGACGTCAAGGACTGCTTCTACAGGATGCGCATCCCGGTGAGCCTGGCGAAGTTCTTCTCGCTGCCCGCCGCTCCAGCTCACGTCCTGGGCCTGGAGGGGCACGAGCTGGAGGGGACGAGGCTGGGCTGCGACACCCTCGTCTTCCCCTGCATCGGGGCTCTCCCCATGGGATTCTCTTGGTCCCTCTTCCTCGCCCAAGACGCGAACGAGGAGAGGGTCGTCCGGTCTGATCCGTGGCCAGGGGGAGACATGGCGGTCTCGGAGCGGGTCCTGATGAGCGATCGCGGACCTCCGCTCGTCGTGGAGGTTGAGCCCGGCCTGCACG